TGTGGTTGTTCGAGGCCAGTCATCTCAGCTCCAGGATATCTTTCTAGGAGTTCCTCAGGGTAGTGACCTTTGGCTGCTTCATCAATGCTCCTTGCTCCTTCATAAGGTCAGAAGTGGGGATGTTTGCTGATGATTGCACAATGTTTAGTACTGTTGGCAGCTCCTCAAAGACTAGAGTCATAGAGTCATGAAGCATAGAAACAGGCTATGACAGCCAGCAAACTATACTAATCTTATTTACCTGCACCTGGACCATAGTCTGCTGTGTCCTGGCATTTTAAGTGCTCATCCAGAGTCCTTTTAAACGTTGCAGGAGAATCTGCCTCTTAGGCAACACGTTCCATATATCTACCATCCTCTTGGTATTTGGTTAAGTTGTCTCTTACAGGAGATGGTCTGGCATTTGAGTAACACAAATGTTATTTGCCACTTGTCAACCCAAGCCTGGATATTTTCCAGGTCTTGCTGCATTTGGACATGGAGTGGTTCAGTCCTGCAATACGGCAGCGAGTAGTTCACCTCCAGATCCCTGAAGCCTGTCCACCATCTATGAGGTTCAATTGAAGAGTTTGATGGAATTCTCCCCATTTGCCTAGATGAGTGCAGCTCCAACAACACTCAAAAAGCTTGACACCATCCAGAACAAAGCAGTCCACTTGATTGGCATCCACAAATATCCACTCTCTCCGTCACCGATGCTCAGTAGTAGCAGTGTGTAGTATCTACAAGATGCAATGCAGAAATTCACCAAAGACATTAGGTGACACCTTCCAAACCCACAACCACTTCCATCTCGAAGGACAAGAGCAGCAAACACATGGGAACATCACCACCTGCAAGTCCGCTTCCAAGCCACTCGCCATCATGACTTGAAAATAGATTGCCATTCCTTCAGTGTTGTTGAGACAAATGCTGGAATTCCTTCCTAACAGCATTATGTGTCTACCTTCAGCAGATGGACTGCTGCAGTTCAAGAAAACAGCTCACCACCACCATCTCATGGGCAACAGGGGATGGCCAGTAAATGCTGGCCAGTTAGCAGTGCCTAGGTCCCTTGAGTGAATTTACATTCACTGACAATTAGTTCTCTAATTTAATAAAAACCGAAAGAACTGCGGATGCTGTAAATCAGGAACAAAAACAAAGTTGCTGGATAAGCTCAGCGGGTCTGGTGGCATCCGTGAAGGAAAAAACAGAGTTAACGTTTCGGTTCTGGTGACTGAGGAAGGGTCACCAGGCCCGAAACATTAACTCTGTTCTTTCCTTCACAGATGCTGCCAGACCTGCTGAGCTTATCCAGCAACTTTGTCTCTAATTTAATACCTTGTTATTTGATTTCCTTTTATCCTTTGGTTATAATCAAAGGATGCTTACTCTGTCCCATTTGCTCATGCTGGAACCTCTATTTTGAAGGGTCTGCTGTTTCTATTAGAAAGTTCATTTCTACTCATTAGCAAAAAAAAGCTCTTTGCCAAGTGCACATGCTATTTGGTAAATTGTTTCCACAAAAAGAGTGTGAGGTTATCACTGGTATCAAATCCATGCAGTATGTTTAATTTTAAATTAATGAGGGTCAGACGTAAAAGACTAGTTAATGGCCCTTGCCTTTACAGTACTGTAGATGTTGCTGCTAGCTTGACTGCCTATAAGAAATAGTAGCATAAATGAGTAACTTGGCGCCTGGACATTTCTGTATCATGGCTGATCTGACATTGGCCTCAACTGCAATTTTTTGCTGCCTCCTTCAATGATCCTTTGTTGCCACATGGTTCAAAAATCTGTCTAATAAATTAGAATGACGGTTACCTCCCCAGATACTACCTCAAAGCCTGCTTAAACATGTGAATTGACTGCAGCCTGGAGTAGCAGCTGGAGGATATTATTCAAAAACCTTAATTGACAGACGTATGGAGCAGGGCTTTGAAGAAAAAACTTGCATTTATATAGCACCTTTCATAACAGCTAGAAGGTCCTAAAGTATTTTACAGCCAGTGAAGTACAGGTCAGGACACCTGGAGAACTCTTCTACTTTTTTTCAAAATAGCATTTACGTGTCTTTTTACACCCATCTAAGAGCATGGACTTAACATCAGTATTACGTCTCAGTCAAACATGACACTCTAGATAATGCAACGTTCCCTCGGTATTGCATGCAAGCATCAGCTTAGATTTTGTACTTTCATCTCTTGATAAGACTTGAACCAGTGACTTTCTGACTCAGAGGTGTAAGCACGATCTTTATGTGGCAATGGTGGTCAGAGCAGTTTCTGTTTGGTGTCTTCTCTGCAGAATGTGTCAGATAGTAAGATACAAAGTGGAACTATGTTTGCATCAGTGTTTACTGTGGAGAATGATATGGAAAATAGAAAATGTGGGAAAATAAATAGCGATATCTTGAAAAATGTCCATATTACAAAGGATGAGATGCTGAACATGTTGAAACGCTTAAAGGTGGATAAATCCCTGGGACCTGATCAGGTGTACCCTAGAGGTGTACTCTGTGGGAAGTGAGGGAAGACATTGCAAGGCTCCTTGCTGAGATATTTGTGTCATCGATAACCACAGGTGAGCAGCTGGAAAACCGGAAGTTGGCTAACATTGTGCCAGTATATAAGACAGGTGGTAAGGAAATGCCATGGGACTATAGACTGATGAGCCTGACATTTGTGGTGGGCAGATTGTTGGAGGGAATCCTGAGGGACAGGATTTACATGTATTTGGAAAGGCGGGGACTGATTTGCGATAGTCAACATGGCTTTGTGCGTGGGAAATCGTCTCTCACTAACTTGAGTTTTTTGAAGAAGTAACGAAGAGGATTGATTTTGGCAGAGTGATGGATGTGATCTGTCTGGACTTAAGTAAGGCATTTGACAAAGTTCCTCATGGTAGACTGGTTAGCAAGGTTAGATCACGTGGATTACAGGAAGAACTAGACATTTGGATACAAAACTGGCTCAAAGGTAGAAGACAGAGGGTGGTGGTGGAGGATTGTTTTTCAGACTGGAGGCCTGTGACCAGCAGTATGCCACAAGGATAGGTGCTGGGTCCACTGCTTTTCATTATTTATATAAATGATTTGGATGTGAACGTAGGACATATGCCGAGGAGTGCCAGATGGAGTTTAATTTAGATAGATGTGAGGAAAGGCAAACCAGGGCAGGACTTATGTATTTAATGGGAAGGTCCTGGGAGCATTGCTGAACAAATAGACCTTGGAGTACAGGTTCACAGTTCCTTGAAAGTAGAGTCGCAGGTAGATAAGATGGTGAAGAAGGCATTTGGTATGCTTGCCTTTATTGGTCAGTGAATTCAGTATTGGAGTTGGGAGGTCATGTTGCAGCTGTGTAGGACATTGGTTAGGGCACTTTTGGAGTATTGCATGCACTTCTGGTTCCTTCCTATAGGGAAGAATGTTGTGAAACTAGAAAGGGTTCAGAAAAGATTTACAAGGATGTTGCCATGGTTGGAGGGTTTAAGCTATAGGGAGAGGCTGAATAAGCTGGGGCTATTTTCCCTGGAGCATCGGAGGCTGAGGAGTGACCTTATAGAGGTTTATAAAATCATGAGGGTCATAAATAGGATAAATGGGCAAGGTCTTTTCCCTGTGATGGGGGAGTCCAAACTAAAGGGCATAGATTTAAGGTGAGAGGGAAAAGATATAAAAGTGACTTAAGGGGCAACTTTTTCATGCGTGAATCGAATGAGCTGCAAGAGGAAGTGGTGGAGGCTGGAAGAATTACAAAATTTAAAAGGCATCTGGATGGATATATGAATAGGAAGGGTTTAGAGAGATATGGGCCAAATGCTGGCAAATAGGACTAGATTTATATAGGATATCTGGTTGGCATGGACGAGTTAGACCAAAGGTTCTGTCTCCATAGTGTATATCTCTATGACTCTAATTCTATGTTGAAGGGAGTTGAGATTCAACCTGCACGCTGATGATAAGGTTCTGTTACTGGACATTTGTAAACAGAAGATTAGGGAAATTAGGGAGGAGAAAACACGGAAAGTGGGCTCAAAAATTAAGAAACCTAACACGGCCTACCCTATAATAATGGACTATCCATTTGGCACATTTCAGTTATTGATCTGCAAACACCCCAAGCTCTCTACTAACAATAAATGATTAGATACACAAAAAACTGGGTTGTGAGTGAGAATTTCCAAACAGAAGGAAGAGTTACAAGAGCAGCTATACAGGACACTGATTAGGCCACTTTTGGAACACTATATTCAATTTTGGTCTCCTAGCTATAAAAAAGATGTTGTGAAACTTGAAAGAGTTCAGAAAAGATTTACGAGGATGTTGCCAGGGTTGAAGGGTTTGAGCTGCAGGGAGAGACTGAATAGGCTGGGGCTACTTTTCCTGTAGGGTGACCTTATAGTTTATAAAATCATGAGGGGCATGGATAGGGTGAATAGCCAATATCTTTTCCCCAGGGTAGGGGAGTCCAAAACTAAAGGCCATAGGTTTAAGATGAAAGGGGAAACATTTAAAAGGGACCTAAGGGGCAACTTTTCCACACAGAGGGGGGTTATGTGTATGGAATGAGCTGCCAGAGGAAGTGATGGAGGCGGTACAATTGCAATACTTAAAAGGCATCTGGATGGGTATATGAATAGAAAGGGTTTAGTGGGACATGGGCCAAATTCTGGCAAATGGGACTAGATTAATTTAGGATATTTGGTCAGCATGGATGGGTTAGGCCGAAGGGTCTGTTTCCATGCTGCACATCTCTATGACTGTTAAGCAATTACAAATGCATATTACTAATTTGGTATTGACTATGCATTCCTGGATTTGAGCAAATTTACTGTCTAAATTTAATTTTCATTAGTGGCATGGGGTGAATACAATCTTTTGCAGAAGGTTTCTGAACTGCAGATTAAATTACAATGTAATGCATTCATTTTATGGTGAAAGAACAGCTGTGTGTCCAGTGCAACGGTAAGCACTGCCTCAATAGCAGCTAAAGTTTGACTTTTCTGTTTTTCAGGGCCATGCAAAGTCCCCACTTTCTTGTGGCAATTGTCCCCCACCTCCCCCTCCTCCTCCTCCTGGGCCCCCTCCAATCTTATTGCCAGAAACATCCAAGGATGAGGCGTCTGTGGCACGTTCCCAGCTCTTTGCACAACTTAACCAAGGAGAAGGGATTACTAAAGGTAAGAATATCAGTGTGACTACTTATCCTTATCAGTACATGATAATGGGGAGCAGAGAAAAACATTCTCTTTGTTTCAGCAATATGCTAATTTGACCGCTGCATATTTTCAAATAAATATTTCAGTACTTTCTGGTTTAAAAAGGGAAATTTGTAACTACATTATTCTAAATGGTTGATCTAAATGGTTGTTTGCAGATAGCTATGAATACATTACAAGCCACCCCATCTGACATTGTTTTGAATCTTTTTATATATAAAGTTGAGTTTCCCTTATTTACATCAGCACAATCAGCTGCACCAGCACAAAAACTTGGACAATTTAGGCACACTTGCTCTTTTGTGATATTGCAAGATTCAATTCAGCAGAATTAGATCCGCCAGACAAAATTGACCATGCTCTTGGGTCACAATCACAAGATTTCACAAATTATCCTAGTTCAAAAAGGCTGTCCAAATTGTACTTTACTTTAAGATGCATGCGTAGACAAGTTTTTAAAAATGTTTCATATCAAAATATATTTATTAAGAAAACTTTTTTTTTTATTTGCAAATTGGACTTGCTGGCATGGCAAGCATTTGTTATCCAACCCTCATTGCCTTCGAGAATGTAGTGGTGAGCTGCCTTCATGAATTGCTACAGATAATGCAGGTAGTTACATCCAGAGTACAGTTTGGAGGGTTTTGACCTAGCCACAGTGAAGAAATTGTGACATATTTACAAATCAGAATGGTGCATGTGTTCCTATGCATCTGCTGCCAGTATCACGATTCGGCATGTGCTGTGAAAGGAGCCTTGATGAGTTGGTGCAATGCATCCTATATACAGTACTCACTGCTGCCATTGTGAGTCAGTGGTGAATAGGGTGCCAGTCAAGGAGACAGCCTTGTCCTATGTAGTATTGAATTCCTTAAGTGTTGTTGGAATTGTATGTATCCAGGCAGGTGGAGAATACTCCAACATACTCTGGATCTGTGCCTTGGTGATGGCTAGTGTGTACCAGTGAATTATGAAATGGTTCAGTCTAACATTTTTAAAGATACTACATTTTAAGTTAGGTTACTCACAGGTGGAGGCGTAGACACCTCTGCTAAAGTGCTAATTTTTGTTCATAAACCCATATTCAGCTTTATTAATGGAACTGCAGCCTGCTTTGCTCTGAATATGTGAAGAAGCACCCTTTAATGAAAAAAAATTACATTAGCTTATGCTGGTCTGTGGAAGATTTCAAATCTGTGGTTATGCAACTCAAAGCCTGACCTAACCAGCACAATTTAGGAGGCTTGACCTCGATATACTTTAAAAATATCAAATGGGACCTCTCCAGTGGTGCCAATGAAGAGGGCTGCTTTGTCCTGGATGACGTCATGCTTCTTGAGTGTTGTTGGAGCTGCATACACCCAAGTAAGTCAGGAGTATTCGATTACTCTCCTGATTTGTGTCTAGTAGATGGTGGACAGGCTTTGGTAGCACCACTGAATGTCAAGGGGCAGTAGTTAGTTTGTCTCTTATTGGTGATGGTCATTGCCTGGCATTTGGGTGGCATGAATCTTAACTTGTGACTTATCAGCCTATGCCTGGATATTGTCCAGATCTTGTTGCATTTGAACGTGGACTGCTTTAGTAACTGAGGAATTACAAATGGTGCTGAACATGGTGCAATCATCGATAAATATCCCTACTTCTGACCGTATGATGGAGGACAGGTCATTAGTGAAGCAGCTGAAGATGTTTGGGCCTAGGACACTACCCTGGGAATCTCCTGCTGGATGGCCTGCAGCTGAGACAACCGACCTCCAGCAACCACAATCATCTATGTGCCAGGTATGACACCAACCAGCGGAGAGTTTGCCCCTGATATCCATTGATTCCAGGTTTGGTGGGGCTCGTTGATGCCACTTTCAGTCGAATGAGGCCTTGATTGTCAAGGCTGTCACTCACCCCTCACCTCTGGAATTCAGTGTTTTTGTCCATGTTTGAGCTAAGGCTGTAATGAGGTCAGGAGCTGAGTGGTTCTGACAGAACCCAAACTGGGTGTCACTGTGCAAGTTATTGCCAAGCAGGTGCTGCTTGCTAGCACTATTGATGCTTTCAACATTTTACTAATGATCAAGGGTAGACTGATAGGCTGGTAATTGGCCAGGTTAGATTTATCCTGTTTTTTATGCAGTTTTCCACATTGTTGGGCAAATGCCAGGACTGTAACTGTACTGGAAGAGCTTGGCTAGAGGAGCGGCAACTTTCGGAGCCTAAGCCTTCAGTACTATTGCCGATTTGTTGAAAGGGTCCATTGTCTTTGCAGTATCCAGTGCTTCCAACCATTTTGTGATATCACATGGAGTGAATCGAATGGGCTGAAGACTGGTATCTGTAATGCTGGGACCACTGGAGGAGGCCAAGATGGATCATCCATTTGGCACTCTGGTTGACAATTGCTGCGAATGCTTCAGCCTTATCGTTTGCACTGATCCGTTGGGTTCGTCCATCATTGAGAATAGGGATATTTGTGGAGTCTCCTCCTCCAGTGAGTTGTTTAATTGTCCCCCCATTTGTGACTGGATATGGAAGGACTGCAGAGTCGAGATCTGATTTATTGGTAGTGGGATCACTTAGTTATGTCCATCACTTGCTTATGCTGTTTGGCACACAAGTAGTCCTGTTTTGTAACTTCACCAGGTTGAAACCTCATTTTTAGGTATGCCTGGTGCTGCTCCTGGCATGCTGTCCTGCATTCTGTACTGAACCAGAGTTGACCTCCTGGTTTGATGATAATGGTTGAGTAGGGGATCTGCTGTCCCATGAGGTTGCAGATTGTGCTGGAGTACAATTCTGCTATTGTTGACGGCCCACGGCGCTGTATGAATGCCCAACCTTGAGTTGCTGGATCTGTTCAAAGTCTGTCCTATTTAGCGATAGTGCCACACAACATGATGGAGGTTATTCTCAATGTAAAGGCGGGACATTCTCTCCACAAGAACTGTGTGGTGGTCAATGTTACTGATACTGTTGTGGACAGATGCATTTGCAGCTGACAGATTGGGAAGGATGAGTCAAGTATGTTTTCCCTCATGTTGCTTCCCCCACTACCTGACGGAGAGCCAATCTGGAGTTATGTCCTTTAGGACCCGGCCAGCCAAATCAGTAGCGCTGCTGTCAAGCCACTCTTATTTGTGGACATTGAAATTCCCCACCCTGCATACAGTTTGCGCCCTTGCCACCCTTAGTGCTTTCTGCAAGTGTTATTCAACATGGAGGAGTACTGATTCATCAGCTGAGGGAGGACGGTACTTGGTAATCATGAGGTTTCCTTGTCTATGTTTAACTTGAAGCCATGAGACTTCACAGGGTCCGGAGTCAATGTTGAGGATTCCTAGGGCAACTCCCTCCTGGCCGTATACCACTGTACAGCCACCTCTGCTGTGGGACAGGACATATCCTCAAGTCACCAGGTGAGGATAACAGATTTCCTTCCCTGAAGAACATTAGTGAACCAGGTGGGTTGTCTGACATTTGACAATGGTTTCATAATCATCATCAGGAGATTCTTAATTTCAAGTATGTTTTATTGAATTCAAAATCCACCAAGTGCCATGGTGGGATTCAAACCCGGGTCTTCAGAACATTAGCTGAGTTTTAGATTAATAGCCTAGCAATACTACCACTTGGCCATTGCCTCCCCGTTTTACCTAGTAAATGTTAAAGGAATTAAAACCTACTCCAAGTTCTGGCTAACTGTAAAATTGACTCCACTCATACTGACTCCACTGCAAAAAAAAACACATTGATCCCAAACACCCATCCCTTCTGCTTTCCTGGAGCACCCTCCAGATGCTCTCCACCTCCTTTGGCTTTACAACTAACACCTTCTGCATGTCCAACTCACCAAGCATCCTATCAGTACCGAATGCCCAACCACTCCCCCAAAAATCTGACCCATCCTAACCTCTCACTCATGTACTGCCACCTGTATCATCTCAACCACTTACCCGATTCCCCATTTGCTTACTTGCCATCCTATCTCATTGCCCACCCCCCTATTACCCTTCCTTCACTCTCTCTTGCCTAACACTTACCTTCTCTCAGTAGCTTTCAAAGTGGCTATGGGCATTTAAATTCTTTTCTTTCTGGAATACGGCAGAAATTGATGTTAAAAAGGGGCGTGACTTCTATATAAATTCACCCCAGTACTCCCAGGATCATTTAGTGGGCTACATCTGTTGAGATAGATTCTGAACCAGAGTAGGGCCCAAAAATTCTTGCGAAGGTAGGAGATAGGGATTCTGACCCAGATCAGAAGATTTGGGCCAGCTTGTCTTGTACTGGAACCTAAGACACCAATGCTGAAAAGACGATATCTGATTTGCAATGCCAACAGTGTGGGTTCAATTCCTGCACCGGCTGAGGTTACCATGAAGGACTCGCCTTCTCCCCATGGCTGGGGTGTGGTGACCCTCCGGTCAAACCAGTGTCAGTTGTCTCTCCTTGTTGTCTCACCTCTTCTTTACACTGATAAAACCTTTAGTTCTCTCAAGACCGTGACTTGAAAGGATTTCTGGGATTTACATATACATATTAATCAATTAAAACATTCTAACTGATTAAAGATTTAACAGCATCATAGGTCAGTTTAATACGTCCTCATCAGTGGTGTGACCCTTTGATCTTTTACATATAAATTCTGTGTCAGATACTACATCTTTCACTAACACCTGAAGAAGGAGCGAAGTTCCTTTATTTTCAAATAAACCTGTTGGACTATAACCTAATGTCATGTGATTTCTGATCTTGTGCTAATTGTTGTAGGAAGCCCTCCAGCGGCTGTAGAGTGCCAAATCTGGAGGCACTACTCTTTAGCAGGGAGGTCGATGTCCTTTGACTCAGCGGGGGGAGGATATGGTGATTGTAACGAGGTCAGGCAGGTGGACATCATACAAAAGAAGTTCCTGCTTGGGGCGGTTAAACTGGTGCAATCAAGGAGCCCTGGCTGACAAATAAAAACAGGAGTATCCGAGGTTCTGTTCACTCTGAGAGCTGGCTCTGACAGAGCTGGATCAGTGTCAAGGACTTCCCACGTGTAAATAAAGGGTGACTTAGTGACAGGATACTGGCCTCCGTGGAGACAGACCACTTAAATTTTCAACCAAATCATTTATAAATACTACAAATAACAGAGATCCAAGCACTGATCCCTGCAGAACACAACTGGTAACAGACTCCACCCTCCTCAATTACACTCCATTTACTATGACCAAGCCAATTTTGTGTCTAACTTCACAACTCACTGTGTATCCGATGTGACTTAATGTTCTGGACCAGCGGACCATGTCAAGTGCATTAGTAAAGTTCACAAAGACAACGTCCACTGAATCAATAATCTTTGTCACTTCCTCAAAAAACTCAAATCTGTGAGACAAGACCTCCCCTGCACAAAGACATACTGACAATCCCTAATAAGTCCGTTCTTTTCCAAATGTGAAAAGATCCTGTCCCTAACAGTCTTCTCCAATAATTTCCCTACTAGTGATGTAGGGCTAACTGGCCTATAATTTTCTGCATAATCCCTGTTGCCCTTCTTAGAGAAGATACCTTGAAAGTGAGGATACCTTGCGATACAAGTGCCCCTGACGACCTTCTGTAAATAGTGAGGTCAGAGGTGCCCCTTGTCATCATGGCCCTCCACCAAAAGGCCTGCAGTTGTGACTGTGGTGGAGGTGAATGGATAAGGTTTGGTGGTATTCTGCCCATATCTATTCCGGGCCTCGGTTTAATATGTCAACCAAATGGCAGCAACTCTGAGATAGTGCAGGACTCCTTCAGTATGACAGGAAGCATCAGTCTAAGTTGAGTCTTCAATCTCTTGAGTGGACTTTAATGCACGACCTTTTGACTTAGAAGCAAGAATGCTATCAGTAAGTCAAGACAAAAAAAAAGGCTCATACTTATAAAAATTGTATGTGCAATGATTTGACTTTGTAGTCATTATAAACAGATGACCATATCAAGCAATAAATTAGCTGTGTTTAATTGCACTAAATTAATATTTGTTTCAAGCATGTTCAGTTATTAGTTTGATGTCATTTACTTTTTAATACATGTACCTTTCTTACTGACTCATTTCATGATCGCACTTACCAGAATTATACTAGTAATAATGGACAATATATGGAGACTTGCGAAGATGTGATTGGTCTCCTTTGTACAGGGACGATTAAGGGAACGTTAAGTAGAGGTGCTCATATTTATGAGGGGATGTCAATAAAGGTAGGAAATGCTATTCCATTAGTATATGGGTTGATAATGAGCAGACATTGCTTCAAGATAAATGTCAAATGAACAGGTTGTGAGATGAGGAGCTTTTCACATTGTGTTATGATCTGGAAAGTACAAGCTAAAAGGGCTGTGGAAGCAGATTGAATAGTAAATTTCAAAAGGAAATTGGATAAATACTTGAATGGTAAAAAAACACTGCAAGAGTATGGAAAAGGAATAGGAAAGTGGAACTAACTGAATAACACTTACAAAACTCTGTACTGGTGAGGTGGGTAGAATGTCTGTCTGTATTATGTTCTGATTTTTAAACTATTGAGATCTTTCTAGAATACTCCCAGATGTCCCTGCTGGACTCTGTGGTAGTGTATTTTAATATTGAACTACGAGCTCCTTAAATTAGTGACATGAATATAAATGTCTGATATTTAACAATTTCAGTTCAGTTGTTGATTTAAAAGATCAAAAAAATTTGAACAGTTTTCTGTGGTACTAATTTTTTACCTTTCTAGGTCTCCGCCATGTTCCTGATGACCAGAAGACCCACAAGAATCCAAATCTTCGTCCACGGACTGCAGTGATCATTTCCCCATCAAAGAGTCACTCATCCAGTCCTACATCGCCCATGTCCTCTCCACAGCAGCCAAGGATGCCTGTGCTGGAGCTAGAAGGAAAGAAGTGGAAAGTGGTAAATATAACCAAAGGCTGGATCTTATGTTCCCCAAAGGGTGTGTTTTCAATGGTAGTGGTCGTGGTGTGGCGAGGGGGGGAACACAAAATAGGTCAGGCTGGACCATCACCTGCCCATCCACCTCTCATCTCATTCCCGTAATACACTAGGTTAAAAACTTGTAAAACAATTAATGATTCAGTCTCTTCAGAAACTCAGCTCAAGAAATAAAACCTAAACGCTCAGATGGAAAGCAATAGAAAAATCATAACATTGTGTTCAATTTATTTAGCTAGCTTCACTCTAAGTGGTGGTAACTTGGAATAAGCTGTGCTGGTTTTAATTAGACTTTACGTACATAAAACTACTATCCACTTCAGTAATGCAAACATATATATTTGTGCAATAGAGAATTGAAAACCAGCTGAGTAGGCTTATATGTTGCTGTGAAGGAATCAATAATTCAAACAATTATTCTTCTCCCTTGTCAGGGCAAAGTTCTGCCTTAAATACATATGTGTGACCTAAATTTAAGGACACAGATTTCCAATGAAAACTGACATCTCAGTAATATTTATCTGCAAACCCCACTGAGATGAAAGGTCCAAAAACTACTGAATTTGGCAAGAGACTTAAACACATCATTAAAGAAATACCACACTCTCTATGCCTTCTCAGGTGGACACTCAAGATTCCCCGGCATTATTATTGGTGTCCTGGCTAATATTTACCCCTCAACCAAAATCAGAATTGTTCATTAACATTACATTTCCGTTTGCCAACTGGCTGCTGTTTTTCCAACGTTATATCAGTGACTGCACTTCGAACAAGTATTTATGTAGCAGTAAAACACTGGTATATTTCTGAGGTCTATATAAAGCCAGGAGCATTCTTTTCAATGCTGCCTTATTTGAAGGTAAATCCAGGTATGTATTTAAATCTCTTGATGGCAAGCATAAATACAAATTCTTTATTTGTAAGAATGAGATACTGTTTATCAGCACTTGATATAAGCCATCATAATTTGAATCTTGTCTTTTGTTCCTAGCTCCATCAGTAACGCAACTAATAATTGGGGGCAGGTTTTACAGGGACGACAGAGTCTTGCTCCTTCTAAGCCCATTTCATAACTATAACGAATGTTGGGCAGGCTAGAATAACCAGTCATGGGATTTTCTACTGCTCACTCAGGAAGAAGTCCCTGCTTCAGAAGCTGCTGGCCGATTGGCTGGTAGCTCCATCACTCTTTACAATGCCAGATCTCAATAGTGAGTTCTGCTGGAAATGTGACTGCCAGAAGAGACCAAAGGAAGATCACAGTGTCATGAGAGCTAAGTCCTGTGATTTTATGATGGGGAGAGATGCTAGAGGCACAGAAAGAGGGAGGTGGTGTGTGAGTTCTGTCAGGCAGGTGGCATGGAAGGAAACGGGTGATATTTAGGAAAGGGGAGTGCACTTGAGATGTGTTGGATATCACTCAAATGAGGTGCCTCCCTCCTTTCCCACCTTTTTTTTGTAGGCCTATAAAAGTAGCTTGCCCAAGCTAGTCATATTATGGCATGGGCAGTGTATTACTCAGATCAGTAGGTTGTTAACATCTCTAATTTATCTTTATTTAAACATGGCATTCAGCTGGCATGTGCAATTAATAATTGGGGGCAGGTTTTACAGGGACGACAGAGTCTTGCTCCTTCTAAGCCGAATAGGCTTATGTGTTGCTGTGAAGGAATCCATAATTCAAACAATTATTCTTCTCCCTTCTCAGGGCAAAGTTCTGCCTTAAATACATATGTGTGACCTAAATTTAAGGACACAGATTTCCAATGAAAACTGACATCTCAGTAATATTTATCTGCAAACCCCACTGAGACGAAAGGTCCAAAAACTACTGAATTTGGCAAGAGACTTAAACACATCATTAAAGAAATACCACACTTCACAAAAATTGTTTTTAAATTAAAGAAGTATTTTACACATGTCTAACTTATTTTGTCTAATTTTACATGAAAATGAAAGTATCTATTCCCTGACATTTACCAGTAACCTTTTAAAGCGACATATTGTACAAAACACAATAGTGACATCTAGTGTTAAACAGTCATCTCTGCAATACATTCAGTTAAATTAAACATTGCTTTGTTGAACCATTTCAATAGCTTGTTGCTTGGCCTTGAAAAACATTTTAGGAATTTTGTTTTAGGACATCATTTGCCCTTTTTCCCACTGTGACTCCATTTCAAGGCTGGAATATTGTAAGAGCTCTGTTAAAGTTCTGCTTGGTGGTCATTGCTGCCTCAAAGCTCCCAACCCCAAAATTTCAGCTTGAAGTCTTGATCCTCAATTTGAAAAGCCCTGTGTTAGACTATACAGGGTTTACTAAATCCCATAGTTGAGTGTGGCTTGAATGAGAGTGGTCTTATAATTTAGCATTGACTTTATGAGAAGTAAACTTGATACCTTTTACTATTTCCCTTTGCTGTAGTCTTTGCCAGAACCAATTTCTCCCAGATAAAACTGTTAAAATACCACTATCTTGTTCTAAAATATGTGCTAGGCATATAAATTTGTGAATACTGTTATTTGGCTTCACTCCAGTAACTTGTGATGAGTGCTACCAAACTGGGTGTTAGATGGCATAACCAAGGCATTCTGGTTTCTGTTGTATTACAACTGCTGCCTTCTCCAAGTTTAAAGAAAAGATATATTTTGATGTCATAGTCATTCAGGTCAGAAGAGGCCTTTTGGCCTGTCAAGTCTGCAGTGACCTATCTACACTAATCCCACTTTCCAGGACTTTCAAGGCTATGGCAAAGTCATGACATTTCAAGTGCTCATCCAAGTTCTTTTTTAAAGTTGAGTTTTTCCGCCTCTACTGCCTTCCCAGGCAGTGCATTCCAGATTCCCACCACTCTCTAGGTGAAAAAAAAATCCTCAAATCCCCTCTAAACCTCCTGCCTTCCATTTTAAAATTTTGCCCCCTCATTATTGACCGTTCAATTAAGGGAAATGGCTGCTTTCTATCCACCCTGTCCACACCTCTCATAATATTAAACACCTCTGTCAGGTACCTCCTCAGCCTTCACTGCTCTAAAGAAGACAACCCAAGCCTATCTGGCTTCTCTTCCTAGTTAAACCCAGGCAAAATCTCGGTGAATCTCCTCTGCAACCCCTGTAGTGCGATCACATCCTTCCTTAGTGTGGCAACTAAAACTGCACACAATAATCCAGCTGTGGCCTCATTAAACTTTGGTATAGTTCCAACATAACCTCCCTACTCTTATAATCTGTGCCATGGCTGATAGAGGCAAGTGTACCATCTGCATTCTTAACCACCTGCTGCCTTCAAGGATCAGTGGACAAGCACCTCAAGATCCCTCTGTTCCTCTGAGCTTCCTAAGTGTCCTGAAATGTATTGTGTACTCCCTTGATTTGTTACTTCTTTCAAAGTGCATTACCTCACACTTTTCAGAGTTATAGAGTCATACAGCTGTATAGTATGGAAACAGACCCTTTGGTCCAACTCATCCACGCCGAGCAGATATCCTAAATTAATCTAGTCCCATTTGCCAGCATTTGGCCAATATCTGTCTAAACCTTTCTTATTCATGTATCTATGCAAATGCCTTTCAGAAGTTGTAATGGTACAAGCCTTCACCACTTCCTCTGGCAGTTTATTCCATACATGTACCACCCTCTGTGTGAACAAGTTGCCCCTTGGGTCCTTTTTAAATCTTTCCCCTCTCACCTTAAACCTATGCCCTTTAGTTTCGAACTCCACTACCCTGGGGAAAAGATATTGGCTATTCATCCTATCCAAGACCCTCATGATTTTATAAACTTCTATTAGGTCACCCCTCAGCCTCCGACGCTCCAGGGAAAATAGCCCCAGCCTATTCAGCCTCTTTCTATAGCTCAAACCCTCCAACCCTGGCAACATCCTTGTAAATCTTTTCTGAACCTTTTCAAGTTTCACAACATCCTTCCTATAGCAGGGAGACCAGAATTGAATACAGCATTCCAAAACTGGCCTAACCAATGTCCAGCACAGCCGCAACAAGACCTCCCAACTCCTATACTCAATGTGCTGACCAATAAAAGCAAGCACACCAAACGCCTTCTTCACTATCCTGTCTACCTGCGACGCTACTTTCAAGGAATTATGATCCTCACTCCAAGGTCCCTTTGTTCAGCAACACTCCACAGGATCTTATCATTAAGTGTATAAGTCCTGCCCCGATTTGTCTTTCCAAAATGCAGCACCTCAGATTTATCTAAAATTTTATCTGTCACTCATCAGCCCATCTGACTAACCTGACTATATCTTCCTGCAACTGAGAACCGGAAAGAATTTTTAGAATTAGAATTTAGATTTTATTGTCACATGTACTCAAGTACAGGGATACCGGAGTGCAGTGAAAAGTGTACAAGGTCACCATTCCCAGTGCCATCTTTGTCCAAAGATGTGCAGGTTAGGTGGATTGGCTTTGTTAAATTGCCCATAGTGTCAGGAGATGTGTAGGTTAGGTGGATTAGCCTGAGAGATGCAGTGTTACAGGGATTGGGTCGTGGGGTGGGTCTGATTGTGTTGCTCTTTAGAGAGTTGGTGCAGACTCGATGGGCTGAATGGCTTGCTTCCACACTGTATAATTCTACGGTCTTAGGTACCAAGGTAGCTAGGTACAAAATCTTACATACAAGGTAGAAAAATAAGGAAATAAAGTCAAAAATTCAACATTAAAGTCCTTCTTAGCATAAAGTAGAAAAATAAAGACCTCTTTCCTCACTTCTAACTACCCAGTCTTCGTGTCATTACAAACTTACTTCTCATTCCCTCCCCATCAACATTCTCATCTATATCGTTTATATATGTATATTAGTAACAATAAGGGACCCAGCATTGATCTCTGTGGCGTGCCACTGGACATTGGCCTCCAGCCTAGATGAGTGCAGCTCCAACAACGTGCAAGAAGTTTGACACCACCCAGGACAAAGCAGCCCACTTGATTGGCACTACATCCACCAGTATCCATTCCCTTCACCACCGACACTCAGTGTAGTATCTACAAGATGCACTGCAGAAATTCACCAAAGATCCTCAGACAGCACCTTCCAAACCCATAACCATTTTCATCTAGAGAAAGGCAGCAGATACAGGAGAACAACACCACCTTCAAGTTCCTCTCCTAGCCACTGACCATCCTGACCTGGAAATATGTAACTGTTTCTTCACTGTCACCGGGTCAAAAATCCTGGAATTCCCTCCCCCGACTGGCATTGTGGGCCAACCTACAGCAGGTGGACTGCAGCAATTGAAGGAGGCAGCTCACCACCATCTTTTCAAGGGCAACTTTGAGCAATCAATGTTGGCCAGCCAGCGACACCCACATCCCACAAATGAACTTTAAAAAGTCACACAAACAGCCTTCTATCACCACCTCTGTTACCACTAAGCTCATTTTGGATCCATCTTGCCAAGTTACTCTGGATCCAATGTCCTTTTACCTTCTTTATCAGTCTCCCGTGGGATCTTGTCAAAGGGTTTGCTGAAATCCATAGAAACCACATCAATTGAACTACCCTCATCTACGTACTTGATCATCTCCTCAAAAAAATTCTATCAAGTTTGTTAGGCATCATGTTTGTTAGGCAAAGCCATGCTGACTGTCCCTGATCAAATGGAGATTAATTAACTGTCATCCCAGTCCTCTGGCACCACCCCATGGTCAGGAAGGAATTAAAAGTTTGGGTCAAAACCCATATTGACTTACAGAAGAAAACTATAATTTGTTAAATTCAACATCATACTCAAACATTTTGCTTTTATGCACAGCATTCTTTACTGATTATTTAAGGTATCTAAGAAAGAGTGTTTATAACCAAATTCATCCCAACAAATTCCAGATTTGAGTTTTGAAAGGCAGTAGATTACAAGATGATGGAGGATTGAGAAGTGTAAAATGCTCTACACTTTTGAGGTCCCAGGAAAGACTGGTTTGGCTGTGAACAGAACGACAAGACTTTGTTCCTCCCCCCCCCCGCTACCACTTTGGTGAAATAATGTGTGGGCTGGTTATTTTGAACATAGAATGAGCTAGACTCTGTTAAGTAGAACTGGTTCACAACATGTCCAATTCCTAGGCAGCAAACATGCCTAAAATTCTAAGTATTATCAAACCACATTAAATCTGCAATTGCACAGTGGGAACTTCTTCATAGGTAAAGACAGTTTTCAATATGGCCACATAAAACAGGTGTTATTCTGTTTATATTTGTAAGTGGGGTGCCAGTAACTCTGGCTGTTTTGCAGAAATTGATTTGATCGATCAGCACAGGAGCCCAGCCTTCTTTGCTTGGAAATCTTGAGAAGTTGGTATAGCCGTCCCCAGTGACCTACCCCAAAAAACAAACATTAGTTTCAGACTAAAATATTCAAAATGTTAATGTTCTCTGGAACCGGCTGTGGAAGAGCGTCTCCCTTAGACACTGCTGAGCCCACAGTCTCCCTTATCCCTTCCACTGCTGCTTGAACATCCCCATTCTGGGAAATTTTAGGCAGCTACCAGCAGGATAAGTAGCACTATGTTCTGCTTAGTAGAATGCTGAACTTTTCTGTGAAGTACAACAAATAGAATGCAAACTAGTTTGGGACAGTTTGTGCTGTGGCTGTACCATTAGTTGTGAACCAAAAAATAAGTCATAACCAATTTTCACCCCTCTATATCTGTGGAATTTTTTTATATTTAATTTCCAGCTAATTGTTCTATTACTTTTATCCCAGGAATACCAGGAAAATAATGACAATATTGTCATTTCTGAGACTGAACTGAAGCATGTTGTTTATGTCTATAAATGCAGCAACTCTACACTGAAAATCCAAGGCAAAGTCAATTCCATTACAATTGGTAAGTACATAGGTCACTACCAAAGTGTTAAGTAGCTGATGGAAATGATTCAAATTACACAATAGCTGTCATGCTGTTTTATAAATCAGGATTGCAGTAGTAACCTGCTTCTCAAAATAAGTTGCCGATCAATATTGTTTTTTGAAAATAGTTTCAAGTTTTTAATCGTGGCCCACTCTTTAAAACTGAGTTCTGATAAGTTGTTTCAAATGTTTAAGCTTTATTCCATTTTTATGATGATGAAGTTCCATTGCTTTTTATTTACACACCCATAGCTTGTTTCTGAATATTTATATATATATTATTTTACATTTCAGATTCTTGTAAAAAGCTTGGCCTTGTGTTTGACAATGTGGTGGGAATAGTTGAAATAATCAATTCCAGAGATGTGCAAGTTCAGGTAACAAATAATTTTCAAAAACATCAGCAATTTCCAGTGTTTGAGAGTGCTAAATTATCTAAATTACAGAATTTATACAAATTTGTTTGATTTTGTAATCATTTGCAGCAAAGTAAATGAGATTCATGTTAATATTAGTTACAGGTTTGAGTTGGTGCATTCAATTTGTCCATTATTGGAATGAAACATAATGGTTTATCATGATTAGTGAGCTGCAATACTGCGGTTATTTCTCCCTGGTTAATCCAATCTGTTGGGATCAATAAAGATTCCTTCATCTTTTACTTGTAATCACAGTTCAAATCTGTTAATGGATTGACATTGTGATCGTGACCTGCTTCTCAAAATTATTTACCATAAATTTGCAATTGTGGCCCACTTTTTGAAGCTTATTGCTGATAAATTATTTCAAATGTTTAGGCGTTTGTGGCTGCTTTCCCATTTTAATGATGATGTAAGTCTGCCAGTTATATTGAGCCAGATGTTTTCTCCTTCATAAAGTAAATCGTCTTGCATTCAGTTTCTGGTTTTGTCATTGGTGACAGGAGGAATCAGCTGAAATATAACCTAAGCAATAGCCTCCTATACATGGCTCAAGGATATAACTTTTTCAATAATTGTAAAATAGATGATATATATTGAGACTAGTGGAAGAAGTAAACAATTATCACATTGAAAGAAAGAACATAAAATGTGCCAAAGATTAGTGGTAAGCCAGAGGATTGTCAAAGTTTTAAAAGCCAACAAAAGATGATCAAAATATAATGAAGTTGGAAAAATTATATTTTGATGCTAAACTAGCAAGTAATATTTAAAAAGAATAGTACAAGATTCTTTAACTATATAAAAAGAAAGAGAGACCAAACTGAACATAGCTTGTTAGAGAATTAGGCTGGAGAAATAATAAGTAACCAGGAAATGGCAGAGGAGTTGAATATTTTTCTTCATGTTTCATGACAGAAGTCCCTAATAGCTTTCCAAAAATACTAAATAATCAAGACAAAAGTGGGGCCAGGAAATAAACACAATAACCATCACTCAAGAAAAAGTATTAAGGAAACTGGGTTGCATCCCAGTATATTAAAAGGCTGGATACAGAGATAGTGGATGCATTTACATTCCTTAGATTCTAGAGGAACAAATCTGCAGGGATATTACAGAGATGCCAACATTATAGGGTAGTTGTTATGGGAGACTGGGATACTTGTAGTGTGTGGGGCAGCAAGGGTCAAGTGTTCCAGGACTGCATACAGTGGAGCTTCCTACAACAGTATGTTTCTAATCCAACAAGAAACGATGCACTGTTGGACCTGGCTCTTAGAAATGAAGTGGGCCAAGTAAGTCACGTGTCAGTCAGGGAACGCTTAGGAGACAATGATCATATCATAAAGTTCAGGCTGATGGTGGAGAAATGACATGCGACAATCTAGAGTGAAAAAAATGAACTGATACAGCGTGGACTTCAGTGTGTCAAGAACAGAGCTGGGCAGGATTGACTGGAATGAAAGGTTGTAGGGAAAAAACATTAACTGAACAATGGGCTACCTTAAAAGATGGTTTGGGTACAGCTAAGGTATATTCCCACAAATGGGAAAAGTAGAACAAACAAATCTAGAACTGATATTGTTGAATGAAGGACAGGACTGGCAACTCAACATTCCAGGGTATAAAAGTTTCAGGCGCAATGGGTGGGAAGTAAGAGATGTGGGGGCATTGCATTATTGATAAAGGAAACCATCACTGCAGAAATGAGAAAGGACATCCTAGAAGGATCTTCAAATGAGGCCATTTGGGTGGAGTTTAGAAATAAACAAGGGGTGAGAACAAGACGGCATAGATTTAAAGAGATCTGCAAAAGAAGAAGGGTGAAGTGAGGAAGAACTTGCCCACTCAGTGAGTGGTCACGGTATGGAATGTACTGGCCTGGAAGTGTGCTGAAGACAGGTTCAATTGAGGCCTTTAAGAGGGCATTTTTTTAATTTAAATAATTATCCAATGTGCAAAAGTATGAGGAAAAAGCAGAAGTTTGGCACTTGGTAATGACATTTATTTAACAAGCTGGTGCAGCAATAATAGGCCAAATGGCCTCCTCCTGCACTGAGGTATCACTTCTGTGATTCTGGAGAAATCCCAGAGGATTGGAAAACTGACAATGTAACATCCTGATTCAAAAGGGTTGAAAGAGTGGACAAACAGATAAGTATGCGTCAGTTACCTTAGCATCTGTAATTAGGAAACATTAGAGTTTATTTTAAAGGATGTAATAGCAGAGCATTTAGAAATACATAAAGAAGCAGAGTCAACATGACTTCATGAAGGGGAAATCATGCCTGAAAAAGTTATTAGAATTCTTTTGAGGAGGTACGAAGTAGGATAGATAAAGTGGAACCAGTAGATGAGATGGCATGGTGGCTGAGCAGTGGTGCAGCACAGTGGCTAAGTGCTTAGCACTGCTGCTTCTCCGCACTGGGTTTGATTCCACCCTTGGGTGACTGTCTGTGTGGAGTTTACACATTCTCCCTGTGTCTGTGTGGATTTCCTCTGGGTGCTCCGGTTTCCTGCCACAGTCCAATAATGTGCAGGTGAGGTGGATTGGCCATAGTGTCCAGGGATGTGTAGGTTACGTGGATTAGCCATGGTAAATTGGGGTTACAGGATATGATAGGGTGTTGGATCTGGGTGGGATGCTCTTTGGAAGGTCGGTGTGGACTTGATGGGGTGAATGGCCTTCTTCCACACTGTAGGGGATTCTGTGATTCTGATATGTTTGGATTTCCAAAACGTCTTCAATTAGGTATCCCACATAAGGCTGTGTGATAAAAAACATAGCTCATAACATTGGGGGTAGTTTATTAGAATAGATAGAGGATTGGTTAACTAATCAAAGACAGAGAATTAAGATGAGGAGGGCATTTTCAGGACAGAAACCTTTAACCAGTGGAGGGCAACAGGAACTTATGCTAGGGCCTCATTTATTTACCATGTATCTTAATGTCTTCGAAGTGAATGTACTGTTGCCAAGTTTGCACATAATACAAAAATAGGTGGGAAGGCAAGTGGTAAAGACGGCACACAGGGTCTGCAGAGGGAACAGGTTAAGTTGAGTTGTCAAAAATTTGGCAAATGGAATATAGTATGGGAAAATGTGAGATTGTGCACTTTGGCAGGAAGGATAAAGGAGCTGAATATTATTTTAATGGAAAAAGACTGCAGGAGGCTACAGCACAGAGCGATGTTGGGGTGGGGGGTGGCCTCATGCATAAAGCAAATAGCTAGCATAGTTGTCAGCAAGTAATAAGGAAGGTGAATGGACTGGTGGCATTTATTTCAAAGGGATTGGAACATAAAAATAGAGAAGTCTTGCTAACACTATACTAAGGTACTAGTTAGACCATGCCTAGAATACTGTGAACAGTTTTGGTACTCTTCTCTAAGGAAAGATAAACTCGCATTAGAGACAGTCAATGAAGATTTACCGTGTGTACCCCAGTCATTAAGGGATTTTCTTATGAGGAGAGGTTGGGTCTATACTGATTGGAGTTTAGAAGAATAAAATGCAATCTTATTGAATCATTTTAAGATTCTTGTAAAGTTTGACAAGTCCTTTCCTCTTGTGGGAGAATCTAGGACCAAAGGGCATAATCTCAGAGTAAGGGATTGCCCATTTAAGACAGAGACGGCGAGCAATTTCATCTCTGAGGGTAGTTACTGTGAATTCTTTGCCACAGAGGGCTGTAGAATGGGTCATTAAATATTTGCAAGGTTGAGATTCACAGATTTTCAATCAGTAAGGGAGTCAAGAATTATGAAGGAAAGGCAGGAAAATGCAGTTTAGGATTCTCGGATCAGCCATGATCTCATTGAATGATGGAGCAGACTTAATGGGCCAAATGTTCTGCTTCTATGTCTTGTGGTCTTTTGCACATTTCTCCCCCCCTCCAACTGTAACCGTTTGAAGAAGATGTTCTAAGGAATTACTTAGTAGATTTTTTAAAAAGAATTGGAGAAGATCCAAAATGACTAAGTGAATATATTAAAAATAAAACATTAAGATAAAACAGTCTATTTACCCTTGCATAGCAACTACTTTATGTAATAGGCAGGAGAAATCTGTGACAGGCATGTTCCCTTAATATTGGAAATTCACACAACAGGCATTGTGCATACCATTTCTATTGTAACGTTGATGTGAGTGTTTTAATTGTACCATACATCCCACATAGTGAATTTATATAAATAAAAAAACCAGTAGTTAATTTTGATATGTTTAATATAAGATGTGCCTTGACCGCATGCTGTCAATATCCAGAACACAACTCACTGAGCTAACAGCAAGCAGGCTCTAAAGGGATAATATTACGTGTGTGCTCTGCTGTCAGGGAGCATTGCCCAACAGAAGTGCCAGTCAGAAATTTGAGCGTGCAAAGTTGGGTGATTGATCATGATCCAAATCACATCTTCTCTGGACATGGCAAAATCATACATGTTACCATTCATACCCAAATCCATTTGATGTGAACAAAAGTGAGCGCTAGAGAGTAAACTGTGGCCTGAATTGAATACATGTCTCTTTGTAGTTTGTAATTCTGAAAGAAGTTTTCCAGTCCCCAGAATCAAGTTCATTCACCTTGCTACAATATCTCACTCAACTACACCCCAAAGTTTAACAGGAGCAAATGGACCTGTAATCACTACTAAATACATAATTTTCTTTATTTGAAAAATATTGAATTTGTTGCTACGCACAGAATCATAGAATTGTTACACACAGGAGGCCAATCAGCCCACCGTGTCCACACTGATGCTTCAAATGAGCAATTTGCTTAATGCCATTCGCTTGCCTTCTCTGCAAAACACAGTACAATCATCCTTTTCAGGTAACAGTGAAAATCCCTTTTGAATGAATCTATTGATCTTAGCTCCACTACACTGACAGAAAATGAATTTCAGGCCCTAACCATTCACTAGTTTTACTAATTTACTAATTTTAGTTTTACTTTCATCTTGTTCATAATTCTTTCATGAAAACAGTTTCCCTTAACGTACTCTTATCCATACTCATAATGAATTTGAATATCTCAAAACTCTTCTCAGCTTTCTTCTCTTCAAGGCAAAGAGTCCTAGTTTCTCCATTCTATCTTTACTTTATGAATGCACCCTCTCCAATGTCTAAACATGCATCTTAAAGTGTGGCACCTAAAAGTGGACGCAGTACTCCAACTATACCTAATCCAGTATATTGTACAAGTTCAATATACCTTCTCTCAACCTGTCATACCACTTTCAACGACTTATGCAGATATATACCCAGGTCTATTTGCTCCTGCATTCCTTTTAGAATTGTGCTTTTTATTTTATATTGTCTTCCTGTGTTCTTCCTAGCAAATGAATCACAATATATTTCTCTGCATTGGACTTCATCTGGCACTTGTTGAAATTTTGCAATGTCCTCACCACAGTTCACAATACTTCCCAGTTCCTTAACATCTGCAAACTTTGATTGTGCCATGTACGTCAAAGTCTAGGTCATTAATATACAGCAGGAAATGGAAGCACTGAACCCAAGGGAACTCTGCTGCAAACCTTCATCCATGTTGAAAAACTTCCATTAGCCATTAACCTTTGTTTCTTTTCATTCAACCAATTACATCTTCTGCCACCCTTTTTAACAGCTAGTGATTTTTAAAGCTGCTAACTTACAGCTGGATTATAAACTATTTTATGTACCGCTTTTCAGGTCATGGGCAAAGTACCTACTGTATCTATAAATAAGACCGAGGGATGTCACATATACCTCAGTGAAGAGTCTTTAGGATGTGAGATTATCAGTGCCAAGTCTTCTGAAATGAATGTTCTAATTCCTCAGGATGATGATTATGTAAGTTATAAACATTTAATGTTTTGTGTTTCTTGATATCTTTATTTTCAGGTTCTGACATTACAAAGGGTTCCAGATTAAACTCTTTGAGGGTATTTTTTTGGCTACTGTCCTCCTGGTTACAGGGTGTCATTAAAAGCATGTCGCTGAGTTCCCAAGATGCAAAGTTCTGTACATAAAGTACTGAATTAAATGTTTGTTCCTTTTCCCAAAAGACTGTGTTTATTGGTCAAATTTGTTACACATGCTCATTTAGGGTGTCAGAGTATACACTGCCTGCATTAAAACAAACAAGTTCACTTGATGAAAACTGATAATAAAGTTCTATTTATCCATTTTGAGGTCCATGCAGCCCTTAATCAATTGTAAGTTCTTGTACATAATGTAGTTATCTTTACAGCTGTTCCCTCAGTAAGGCATATTCTGGCCATTCAGATACATAATCAGGATATTTCAGTAAATGAGATTCCCAACTTACAGTGACACAGAAACTGTTAGTTGATTTAATTTGAGGCATTTTGATTTTGATCTAAAAACAAAAAGAACAGTATTTTTAATTAATCATTTTAGAGAAAAATGTAATTATCCAATGTAGAACTTAAAACGTAAGGCGAGGCCTGCTTACCCATGTATCTATCAACTGGGTTCTGTAGGAAATCCCTGGACAAACCCTTAATGCACTGGAGTGAAATTTAACGTCCACTCCCAAGGCAAGTTTAGAGGTGGAGCCATTTAATCAGGCAGGAGAATAGGCCTTGGTCAAGTTAGGGACGGGGATGGCCTTCCCATCAATCGTCCTGCATTCACACCAACTGATGACCATTTAAGGACCTCATCCTGGCACCACTAGTATTCAACCAGCAGTTGGTGAGGCAGTCATCTTGAGAAACAGCTGACTACCTGTGCCTGTTAGTATAGTTCACAGATGGCCTTATTGTGAATGTTTGTTTGAGCCCAAAGATTGACAAATGAATTTTCTTGGAGGAGCCGTTCTCAAAGGTGCAAGTGGAGCATTTGATTGCTGTTTTTATGAAGTTATAATTATTTATTCTTTCTCTGAACTGTTTCCTTCAATATCTATTTATTTGTTTGGTTGAAGCTGAGAGATGTGAAGTGAGGTAAAGCTTTTGTTATTGATACTTTAATGTCTCCGAGTGATTGACACTTCTCTGGGTTTCAAGAAAAACTTGTCTCAATTTATTTTTGAATGAGTCCTTTTTTTGAATGAGTCCTTTTTTTGAATTGTCTTTCATGACTTGCTATTTTTCTAACATAGCTTACCAGGCTCTGAAAGGCGTGGGTTATGCAAGATGCCTGATAGAATTAGGCAAGATTTCTGGCAAGGTCCGATCTCGATGTTGAATCATCTCGCCACATCTGGTACCCTTTTCTCAAGTGGTGTGATGAGATTCTCACTAGTCAGCGTCAAGTTCCTAATTGACGCTATCATTGCATGTTAAATGCCTTGTTAACAGCCCAACTGACCATGGACCCAATCTTACCAAACTTGCCGTACAAACTTACTGTCAGGAAAACTAAACATGGAACCCAGACCAGGTTCTTGGTGCATTCAACTCATTGCGTCTTCCAAACGACCTCCATCTTACCCATGGACAAATTGCAGAGCAGGGCACAATCCATAGTGGACCCTGTTGACCCTGGAGGCATTATTGGGTGATCCTCGGGGCGGTGGGGGGGGGGTGCGTGGGTGGGGTGGGAGAGCGTTTTGGTCTGGTAAGGCCAAATATGCCAGAGGCAAGTTAACTCATCTCAGCTGGAACTTCAACAGTCGGAGGAGGACAGGCACATGAAGTTTGAGAGCCCAGCTAATTCTGCAGTCTCCTCAATGGAAACTGTTGAAGGGCTTTTGTGTGACTCCACCTGGGGGCCACCTGGCTCCATCCTGTCTCTGTGTGAGGATGGGGCACCTGGATGAGGCTCTAGACTCCTAAGCCCACTTTTGTTCTGCCTTTAGTCCTGGGTTGATGGAAATCAGGTGTTGGCTACTCACCAGTAGCCCCAGAGGGTGCTGGGCCTGTGTCTTGATGACAGCTGCTAACCTGTCTATGGACGTGGACAGTCGGAAATTGGGCTGGCTACACTGGTGCAGCATCTGAGCAATGACAGGCAGTGCATCGACAGACTACTGCATCGCTACTGCTTCTCCATTATGAGGGCCAGTGCCTCCTGTATGCCTGCCAGCCACTGCTGCTTTTCCCTAAGCTTCTGGATGAAGTCCCTCATCACCAAGACCACGCCATCTCTTGCTAAGGGCTAAGCATGTATCTGGTCTCCGGCAGTGTTCTGATTGCCAATGGCTTGGGAGTTCCTTCCTCACTCATCTGTGGAGCTGTTGGTGTGCACGCTGATGAAGCCCACTGAAATGTCATTGTCCATGCTGCTTGTGGATCCAGGAAGTAGTCTTGATGATGATCCTTCCAATTCCCTCAGCAAATTACAACATTTAAAAGACGTTTGGACAGGTACATGTATAGGAAAGGTTTCGAGGGATGTCGGCCAAATGCAGGCAAATGGGACTAGATTAGTTTAGGAAACCTGGTTGGCATGGTTGAGTTGAGCCAAAGGGTCAGTTTCTGTGCTGTATGACTCTATCATCTCATCTGGGTAGATCCAGGAACCTTTCTCTATGTGACAGGCTGGTCTTTGGGACAATGCGTGCACTTGTAAAACACAAGAGACAGGAAATGTTGCAGTCACTGGCTAGTAGTAATGCTTGACTCCTTGTAAATGTGACCTTTACAGTGAGACGACAAAGTGATATTTACTTGGGTGTTGGGACAGTGGTGTACCTGCACCTCTGCAGGAGCAGTCCCTGTCTTTTCCTGGTCCCTGTCATCCTTTCCTGGTAGGGTGGGTGAGGACATGGATGTCTGGCAACCCCCACTCTGTAGGCGTTGTTCCGATCTGTTATAAGATGTCTTCTCCTTTAATGACATAAAGGGCAAAAGAATAAGATGCAAGTGGGTAGCACGGCTATTAAGGCTGGTTTTATTGGGGGTAGAGGTGCTGAGGTGTTTTGAAGAAATAAGGGAGCAACATTGGTGTATGGGTGTGGGAGATAATGAGAGCAAATGTTTCATGCAGCAGAAGGGATGTCAGAATATAAGTGGTGGGGGGTGGGTGCAATTGATTTTTAAGTGTGAGGCAGCAAAGTGCAGAGTATTGCGTATTCTCTGACAGAGCACAGAAGGTCATTCACTTTCTTCCTGCACAGTCCTTCTCACCCTGGAGATGACTCTGACTAGGCTAGTATGGTACGGTGATTTGGCCTTCTCTGCCAGACTTCTGGGAAAAGGATTCCTCTCCTCTCCATCATCTGTGCACAAGAACCTACAGGTTCCTCTTAGAGAAGCGCGATGCCAACTTCGCCTTCTCCAACATCTCTCCTGACTCCTTTCAGAGCTGAGCAGGTCAGCGAAGTGCAGTAGGTTTTGGAAAATTACATATTGATGAGGGTTGTTGGTTTTAGGGAGGATCTCTGCTGAACAGAGAGTCGCTCCAAGAGCGGCACGTCATAAGATGGTACTGAGATTGCATATGATTCTCGTCACAAGGCCTGAAATGTCAATTAACGCAATACATTTGGTTAAGATATGGCGAGAAAACTCACATGGTCGCATGGTGAGAATAACTCCACAAAACCCAAAGCAACTTGCGGTTTGCCAAAAACCCAAAAGATTCCACCTTATGTTGCTATCGAGTGTATTGGGTAAATGAGCATACAGGATGCAGGGGATCTATGGAGAGAGCATAATTTAAGACCTTTTGAACATGCTTTGCAAAAGGTTCCCATATCCAGAGTATACTTAATGAATCCACTTAGGGTTCATCAATCACATGTATTAAAGTACCTGGCCCAACTCTATCAAAATTGCAGGGAGGGAATGAGATGCCTACCCCTCACATTGGAGCTGACCAGATCAGGAGTGCAGCTTGTGGGCTCACTATCCAAACCCTTATTCCAGGCTGGTCAAAATTGCCAACATTAGGAATGGGGATTGGAATCCTGGAAGTGTATCCCACCTACCATATTTAAAGACTATAGTCAAACAAATGCCACAAAATCCAGTTTACAATCAGAACTAGACCACTCAGGAGTGAAAGTAGGAAATGATTCTTATCCAAAGTATAAGGGTATTTGGAATTCTGTTTCTAAAAAGGAACTGGATACTAACTCAAGATTGAGATTGGCAGATTTTGGAAAGATAAGACTATAGATACGGAATTAGGAGTTAAGAAATAGATGAGACATAACTTATTTGAATGGGAAATTGTTGAGATTTATTTTAAATGATGCTTAAATTTGGAAGTTTAATGTAAAAATATTCATCAGTGGTTTATTCATAATCCAGCCCCAGACCTTCCAAGATTAACATTTACGAGGAAAGATGTTCGGATAAACAGCAACCACCACTTATGTTTTTGATAAAATACTTAAGGATGTAAATTTATTGTTAAACAAATTTATCTCAGATCTTCAAAGGGATTATTTTAAAGGCAATAATTCCATTTTTAACAGATATAGGATAATAGGGTTTAGATTTTACAAGTCATCACTTGTTCATGTCAAGGATGTACAGAATTGGGGTACAGAATTTTGTTTCACCCCATCAGATTTTGTGCCTATTAAAAAGTCTTGAATATAAAACTGACATTGACCTACAATCTCAAATTTCTCATGTACATTCCTGGATCACAAAGCTGTATGGACACAGCATGAATTGGTAACATGTACCCCTTCAGTGTGCAAAATGCAACCTGCTTTTCATCCAGAAACCTACTGATTGTTTTACTTTATATTTTTCTGTCAAAATAGCTTTAGGCATCTAATATTATGTAACAGTAAACTAAATCTCAGTAGTTTGTGGTTACAATTCAAAGTTACTGGCTGGAATTTGTCAGTTTCTCCATTTTAAAAATATTTTCATAGATCTTCATTACTATGTTGAGTTTTTCAGAAGAAATTATGTTTAGGGGAGCTCAGTTACTCACCATGAAATGAAAACAGAAAAACTTCAGACTTAAAACAAGTTCCAATGAAAGCTTCTGATGCTTAAAGTTTGTGCTAAATTACAGTATAGTCAGTACTCTGCTATTGCCACGGTTCTGAACATTGGCACTGAAAAGTAAAGAAATGCAAAACTAAAAAGAGGTCAATAGTCCAATCAGTCAGGCCGACTGAACATAACATTGTGTGCACAATCTGTAAGTTCTCCATTCCCTCTAGATAATGAAAAGTGACTAATGAACCTTTTTTTTTCTTTAGTTTCTCCATTTTGTTTACTTTGGTTTGGATAAGCATTGGTTATGCTTGAGGAGCTCTTGCATGGTTCGCCTCTTTCCTATTTTAATGGGGATGTCATTCTATTTAAAATTAACAGATAGTGCTGTCACCTAAACAGCATAGAATGGAGTTTGAAAGAAATGCTTTAAGCATTGATAAGATCATTTCAGAGTAATCTTTACCTTGTGCAACAAGTGTCCAAATACTGACCCTGCTAATCTGACAGGCGAAACCCAAGCATCTCAGCCCTGTTTCCACTTAATTTTGAACTTCATTTTGTGTAGTTGCTGTACTTTCAGGAGAAGGAAATAAAGGGTTATTGGCACAGTTGAGAGTAAGATAGGAAGCATACTTTTGGAGTTTAGGACCAGACATGTTCGCAATTTGTGAGCCTGAAGCTTTGGCAAAGTACTTAATACTTTAGTATTTCCATTGCAAATTAAAGGGCCCAAGACCAATTTCTGCAGTGTGATTTAATTATTTTTAATCAATCTGTTTATACATGCTGTGGCAGATGGGACCTGAAGCCAAACCTTATGATCCAGAGGAAGGGACTCTCACTGTACCAAATGCCCCCCTACAAGGCACCAAAGTGTATAAAATTATTTCTAATCAACCTGTTCGGACATGTTATGACACACCACAGGTGTGACTCGATTCTGAATCTTGATACTACCACTGCACAACAAGATCCCCATGGACTCGTCATAGAATATAAGAATACAAATTTAAGTAATTAATGTACTGCAGCCAAGTCCTGCCAAGGCAAAAAGCTGGGACAAAATGGATATATGTTTGAAAGAGACATTTGCAAGCTTTCAGGTGAAGAGCAGGGGAGTGGGATTAACTGGAAAGGTCTTTCAAAGAGCTTACATAGAAGCAAAAGGGGCCAAATAGACATCTTCTATGCTGTATGATTATATCCCCTGCCATTTACTTCTGAGAATTATTAGTAATCTGTTGTCATTTAAATGTTATCTGGCAGAATTATTTCAAGTGCGAAATTGAATTTACTAACAGAATTTTGTTTCCTTTTTGCAGAAGGAGTATCCAGTCCCAGAACAGTTCAAGACTATATGGATTGGTTCAAGGCTATTTACTGAAGCAGCAGAGAATGTTGGTTAACTGCCAAAGTTACAAGCTGTTCTGTAATTCATGTGTTTTATTCTAGAGTTATAGTTCACCATGATGCAATTTTACACTTCGTGTAGCCATAGCATATAATACCACAGTAGTCAGACACCTTGCAGTAGCTGCATTACATGTAGAGGTGCAATGATTGATGGTCTTACTGGCTCTCTGTTTTTAGCAACTGTGGGTTACGATGCTTGTATATATTTTTAGTGTAATCAACATCTTTGTACTTTTTGAGCTTTGTATGACAAAATCTCACCCAGTTCTTTAATCAGTTTAGATATCCCAGGATTTAAGTTATTCAAAATTAATCATTGCACCTGTTGGTTAAAGTCAATTTTGTTATTGTGCATCTCACCAGAATTCCTTCTAATGTGGAAAAAATGTCATTTGAGCCTCTCTTTTATAATCTCCATTTAAGGTTATCCCAAGGACAACAATCTTTCACAAATAGTTGCTGTGAAACTATTTCAGTTAACGTTCCATACCTTTTGTTTGTGTTGCCCATAAATTGCCCAACAAGATTTTCTTGGTCAGGGTGAATGTTGCCCTTTCAGGGATGTTGCCATGGACTACAAATTGTAGTTTTAACAACCAATATTTTTACATATCTTTGTTAATGCATTTCTGATTTCCTCAGTTTTGTTTTGTACACTAAAGTTGCCCAATGTTAAGTCTAAATATGTAGTTTATAAAGTTAGGTAATGCCTGTCTTTTCATAAAATGTTGACATAACGTGATAGTAGGTAATAGCTTAGATGCAAGCCACTTCTGTAAAAGTAGGTTTTAATTTGTCCCCTGCAGGCTTTTACCTAAATGGCCAGGCCATTTCAAAGTAAATGGCAGAAATAGATCAAAGGCTCAGATCCACTCATCTATATTGATCAGTGTCATACATATGCAGTAGTCAGGTCCTGGCAGAGACATTACAATGTAATGGCTTCTATAACCTCATGTTATGCAGGTACCAAGATGTCCTCACCCACAGTATTGGCAAGATAAATGCAGACTTCTACTGTTCTAAGTTTCAAAGTTAATCCTTGACAATATTTTAGTGTAGAAAATAGATACAGTTTGTTGCACCATAATATTGCAGTTGTTCCTGTTATGAGCTTTTTTTGAGGAATTAGTTACTGTAATTTGTAATATCACTAGATGATTTGAAGAATACTGTCATGTGTCAAAAGGAAGGTGTTCTGCAAATAAAAAAACTTGCAAAGTCTAATTATCAATGTGGACCTTTATTATTTCAAGTTTGGAAGTTATGGCAAGTATTACCAATTAACCAAACTTGTCTCACTTGTGTTTTTGGGCTGTACAAGATTTGCTTTTGAGATTTTGAATCTTAAGCAAAAAAGATGATGATGCAAAATACATTGTGGGTCACAGTCTATGGACAGAAAAAAACAAGTTAGCATATTAGGATGGAACATTCAACAGAATTGGATGAAATTCATATTCTCAGTTTATGAAGCTTAACATTATAGTTTGAGTTTTTCCAGAAAGCCCCAATAAATTCTGAGTGGTTAAGTGCATTGTTTCAGGATTTCACAAAGCAGTGTCCAGCTAGTCAAATACTTTTAAAAGGTAAGCACTGCTGTCACATAGAAACATGGTAGTAAGTTTGCTGGAAACAATGTAGCTGCACTGTTGCATAACATTATTAGCATTTCTAATAATCCACCTGTTTTTGCAGTTCATGCACCTGTGCCGTGAACTCAATTGCAGAGTTCATTATATGACAATGACCATTTGAATCCCATGGTGATTGCTGGTATTTAATTGCCCTCTTGACTGAATTCATCAGGGGTTCTGAGAACCATCAATGGCACAATTGTTTTGCTTTCAAAGGCATCAGGTATAGTACTTATATGGCTTGCAACAGATGTAAGTATTATATGAGCCTTGTTTACCGTATAATGATTGGAGTCTTGTGGTGGTTTAAATGGTCTAGACTTGCAGGCATCTTTGGACGTAGTTGTGAAAAGGTAACAGTATTACTGGTACTTAAGATATGTTATGAAAATGCTTCATGTTTAATATTTCTTGGAGGACTTAAGTTGAAGGATTGTGATAATATTTTATTTCAAGTTTTGTGGAAATACCTGGAGTTGGGGGCGGGGGCGGTTTCTTTACATTGTGGACACATGTTAACAAGGCTTCCTAGAAATCACACAACTGGTGTTAACTGTTTGTTCTGGTGTAGACCCTGCTGTGATTGGATGGAAACTGCTTTGGTATCTAGAATTACTTGGAGAACTAGCACTATCACAGCGTCAATTGGAATAGACTTCAAATACATATAGCAATTCAAAACCGAGTATCCATGAGGCACTGTGGCCTATCAGCAGCAGCAGAATTATATTCAACCATAATTTGTGATGTCATGACCTAGCATGCTCCCCAGTACCATCAAGCCAGCAGATCAACCTTAGTTCAGAAAAGGAATGTAGGAGGACATCCAGTTAGTAAAACAGGAATTTACGAAGAAAATAAGTTGCTAACGTAAAAACAGTGCTAATTGCATTTGATCATTTTGGGATCAAAAGGACTGTATCAACTAGATGAAGCTATAACACCGGACTAGCATGCCAAACAGATTTGCAGCATGTAAGACGAACCCACACTAATGATTCAGACCTAAGCTCTGCAGTCCCACCACATTGAATTGTGAATGGTGGTGGATAATAAAGCAACTAACAAGTGGTGGAAGCTCCACAAATATTCCCATCCTTAATGATGGGGGAGCCCAGTAGGTCAGTGCAAAAAACAAGGCTAAAGCATTTTCAACCATCTTCACCCAGAAATACCAAATGCTGATCCATTTTGGCCTCTTCCCGAGGTCCCAGCATCACAGATACCAGTCTTCAAGAAATTTGACTCACTTCGTTTGATACCAAAAAACAGCTAAAGGCACTGGATACTGCAAAGGCTGCTGGATTTGACAATAACTTGTGCTCAAGAACTGGATTTGCCCCTAGCAAAACTCTTGTATAGCTGCAACACTAACACTTACCCAACAATAAAGTGATGAAAAGGGTCATAGATGATGCTATCAAGCACCACTTGCAAAGGAATAAACTGCTCACTGATGCTCAGTTTGGGTTCTGACAGGCCATTCACTTCCTGATGTAATTATGGCATTGATCCAAACGCACAAAAGAGTGGAACTTGAGAGGCGAGGTGAGAATGACTGTCCTTGGCACCAAGGCAGTGTATGACAGAGAATGGCAAAGGAGCCCCTAAAAGAAATTAGTCAGTGGGAATGGAGAAACTTCTTCATTGCCCCTTGATACTCAGTGATATTTCCATCGCTTGAGTCCTTGCTATCAATATCCCAGAGTTTACCATTGACCAGAAACTGAACTGGACCAGCCATATAAATACTATAACTGCAACAGCAGGTCAGAGGCGAGGAATTTTGCAGCGAGTAACATCATGTCTCCCCAAAGCCTGTCCACCATCTACAAGGCACAAGTCAGGAGTGTGATGGAACACTCTCTAATTGTCTGGATGGATACAATTCCAACAAATTCAAGAAACTAACGCACTCAGAACAAAATAGTTCATTGGCACCTCAACTACAACATTTATCATTCACTCCTTTCATTGCAGTAGCGTCAGTGTGTACCATCTAAAGATTGACTACAGTAACTCACCAAGCCTCCTTCAATAGCACCTTCCAATCCCACAACCTCTATCAACTAGTCAAATAAGGGCTACAGACGCATGGGAACACCACCACCTGAAAAATTTCCCTCCAAGCCACATACCATCCTGGCTTGAAACCATATTGTCATTTCTTTATTATTGCTGGGTCAAAATCCCTTTCTAACAACAGTGTCCTTACACTCATGTAATGCAGCAGTTTATAGTGGCAGCTCATCATCACTTTTTCTAGGGCAATTGAGGATTGGCATACCATGAATTAAGAATAATAAAAAAGCCCGTGAGAAGGGGCTGCCCAGCTGATCCCTCCTATTTATGAAAAGAACCCACTTAGAGAGTTTAGGGTGAAACATTTTTGTTCTTCTAGAAGAGTGATTACAGGGACTTATCAACATTGTGTCGTCGTCACTGGACCCAAAATGTTAACTCTTATGTCTGCTCACAGATTCTGCCATACCTGCAGTGCTTTTCCAGCAACTTCTGTTTTTGTTTCTGATTTACAGCATCCGCAGTTCTTTCAGTTTTTACTTTTCAACGTTGTATTTCCTGAGCAAGCTGTGTCTGCTGGGACTCTGGAGACAATCATAATGATTAGTGACTTGACCTCCTGTCAGAAGACTAAAATGACAAACTTCAGAACATTGTGCTTTATCCTTTACGTCTTCAAGCTAAAGCCTAATGGTCAGAAATGTTTATTTTTAAAGGGAACATTTGCAGAGAATTCTTCTCATTTTCCCAGGTGTGTGTGTGTGCGCGCATCTGCGTGCGTACCTGTGCATGTTTTGGTTTATTTACAGGGATAAACATTTATAATTCCTTGTTACCAACAATGTATGTTAGCCAGTTATTGCATCTTCATTGGATAAATTTTGTTTTAATAATAAACCAATAATTTTATTTACTAAAGAAATCAGCTTGATAGATCACTTTATTTAAAACCTGATTTAGATAAGCTGTTTAACTGATATTTAGTAATTGGGAAGACTAATTTTAGTTTATGTCGTGACTCATGGAGTAATGGGACTAAACCAACAGTGTATTCTTCTAGCCTAACTTGTAACAGTAAAATGTTGGCTAGGTGGAGATTCCATATGAGATTAACAATAGGATGCAAGATGTCTGAATTTACAATTTTTTGCACAGAGCAAAGTGGATGTTTCCCTGCATACATTCCTGAGTGCTGATGATGTAGACTTGATTTAAACTGACTCTAATGCCATTAATACTTCAAAATGGAGGATGGAGGAAAAGATACAAAACATGAAGGACCTATGAATTATCTTTAAACTTTTTTGTAGCAATGTATAATGAGAAAGTGTAACTTTGATTTAAATGTTTTCATCTGTATTTTTCACAATTTATATAATTGAGTATATGTAAAATTTTATCAAACAATGCTCGTAGAATTTTTTATTCATTTATAAAATATAATTGGAATGGTCTTTAGATGAACACTTAGAATACATTTATGATGGCTTATGGAATAATGGGGCTGGTTTACCAGCGCACACTTCCCATCAGGTTGTGTCATCCTGCTGCATGAAATGGATCTGATCCAGAAGATTAGTTTGGAGGCCTCCAAGGCCAAAAGGAGAGGCTTGATGGCTCCTTACCTCTTGGAGATTGTCAACTGCTAAGTGCCCACCAATCCATGATAAAGGCACCCATCAGCCACCTATGCTCCAGGGAAGGAAGTCCCAGCTTATCCAGCCTGTTCTTATAACTCAAACCATCCAGTGTCGACAACATCGTTGTAAATCCTTTTTTGTCCCCTCTCCAGTTTAATAACATCCTTCCTCCTCCTAAGTGCTGCCTCATCCAATCACATAATTCTAGTCAGGATGCTTAACATGGTTTCTTCCACATGACGACTGCTCACAACCGAACATATCTGTCCATTAGAGATAGTAGGAACTGCAGATGCTGGAGAATCTGAGACAACAAGGTGCAGGGCTGGCTGAACGCAGCAGGCCAAGCAGCATCATAGGAACAGAGAGGCTGACGTTTCGGGCCTAGACCCTTCATCAGAAAAGGGGGAGGGGAAGGGGGTTCTGAAATAAATAGGGAGAGTGGGGGAGGCGGATAGAAGAGGGATAGAGGAGAGAATACCTATCCTCTCCCTTATCCTCTCCTCTATCTCTCTTCTATCCGCCTCCCACTCTCTCCCTCCCCCTTTTCTGATGAAGGGTCTAGGCCCGAAACGTCAGCCTCTCTGTTCCTATGATGCTGCTTGGCCTGCTGCGTTCATCCAGCCCTGCACCTTGCTGTCTCAGATTCTCCAGCATCTGCAGTTCCTACTATCTCTGATTCAATTTTAACCCCACTGCGAAGCCTCTTCTAAGGATGCCTAACCTGAAGAAGTTACCCTCCTCCCTCCGGACAAACCTCAAGGGATCCATATCTGTCCATTAGCCCAGTTGATCAAAACACTGTTGATCTCTTAGATAACCTTTTTCACTGTGCATTATACCACCAAATTTGGAAACGTATTAACTATGCCTTCTGTATTCTCATTCAAATTGTTTATATAAATGATGAACAACAATGGACCCAGCA